TTGAAAACACATATTTATGTGTCTATCTTGAAGCAGTTCTCGCCTATGCCCTCTAAAGCCATCTATAAATATGCCAATTATGAAAACAATGCTACTGTTTTGAAACCCACATTTCAAAGGTAGCAGTATAACCCGCAGCCATTTTTCATGCTCACAGTTTCTGTGATGGAGAGCCAGGGTAATGTGGGGGTCACCTGTCTCTGCTCCCCTTTCTAAGGAATCAGAACACTTGGACAGCTGGAGGTGGCTCACAAAGCCGAGGAGAAGCTGCTGGAAGCTCGCTTCCCCAGGCGGGCGTCTTGTGGACTGGCTGTGATGACTAAGGCTGCTGTTTACTAGAGCTGGGTGTGACTCTGCATGGGACTCAAGCTCTCATGACAGTACCCCGTATGGGAGCATCCGGAGCACGTTGGCCGGCCGCCAGGGGAGCCTCTGCGTGGATCTTGAGCGTGAGAAATAGGCGCTGAAGATGTGTCAGCTCCAGGGGACCGCGATAACTAGGGAGTACAGGGTTGGCTGGAGATTGTCTAGGTCTCGTGCCTGCCACTGGGCAAGAGCAGCTGGAAGACGAGCCTTGGCTGTGGTGTCGGCTCCAGTGCGTACAGGCGCCTTCCCAGTGCGCAGCTAGTTCTGGGAGGAAGTGGCCCAGCTGGAGGGATTAGAGAGAAGTTTTGCACAGCAACCGAGCAGACTTCCTGTGGCCTTTGAGGGCCTCACTTCTGTAGTCGGGAAACATCACTTTCTGTGCACTCTCTTGGTGATTGATGAGTAACTAAAGCCAGCCCAGATTCCAGGGAACGGAGGTGTGGCCTCACTTCTTGGTGGGGAAGTAGTGAGAGCCATTGTGTAGCATATGTAGGATGGACGATACCGTTGTTATCATTTTTGCAAAATACCTATGTTACAGGGAGACAGGGTATGCTAAGCACTTTTCATGAATTTTATCTGAGTCCTCATAATGCTTCTACGGAATAGTTGGGTTTTAATTTTATTTTAAATTTAATTTGCAATAATTTTCATGATGAAAACTATATGGAACATGTCCATCTCTAGAACTTATTTGGACAAATCCAAATATAGAGTAATTGATGTATGTTTCCACATCTTGTCCTCATACCATGACATCCCCAGGTGCTGAGCTACAACTATATCCACTGATGTGTATAAAACTCTATACTTCATATTTAAACTCCATTAAAATAGTTAATTTTAGATTTAGGTTACATTTTCAATTATTCTTAGAATAATGATTTAGCTTTATTATTATTTTTTAACAATTTAGCTTTAAAAGGCCTTTATTCACATCTTACATTTCTAGGGCTCCCTGCTCCATAGGGGTTGTGGGTGATCTTTCCCAGTGACTTGGTCCCCCTGGGATAGACTCTTCCCTCTGAGGGTTGAACAAAGTACTACATTGTTTCTTCTCTGAGCCAGGCTTCAGGTCTATGCAACTCAACTTCTCTCTCTGATTTGAACTTAGGTGGTAGTTGGATGATGTCGACTTGCCAGAAACCTGAGTATGTTTCTAATTTGTCTTAGTAAAACTTCCTGGACAGGAAATAAAGATTTCACAGAATTGAGTGAGACTTGGAAACATATATACACTGACCAAACTAGTATCTCTATATAGAAAAACCTCTGCATATGCAATGTAGTGATGACTATTTTAATACATGTGGTATAAACCACTCTAAGTGACATGGGACCTTATAGTAAGTAAAAATTGTTATTAATGATGAGGATATACAATCGGAAAATGAGAATGAACAATATCAAGAACAGAATTGGCATTAAATAAATGTTGAGTTGATGAACCAATTGTATCAGTCTTCACACATGACAGAGTTGGCAAACATTTTTATACCTAAATGCTGTGAAAATTTATACCTTACTATAAAACTGCAATATAGCAAGCTTAGTCTGAGAAGGCTTTCTTCATTTGGATTTAAAACTATAAAAATTAAAATGGCATGGATGAATTTAGAGGATATGTTGAATGAATTAACATTGTTAATAAGTTTTCCTAGGACACACTTTATTTAACTATGTAATGGGAGAGAATGGTCCCTTTTATTTACACTAGTGGGAAGAATTCATAATTTATATAGGTCCACTTACAGTGAGTGGTATTTGTGGTTCACTAATAACTTGCTAACATTCATAATGAAAGTTCTATTGTTCAACAATTCACATTAAACATAACTGATGACAGGTAAGGTAGCAAATACCTATAATCCCGGCACTCTGGAAAGCTGAGGGAGGAGGATCTCAAGCTCAAACCCAGGCTGGGAAACTTAGTGACTTAGCAAGACCTTGTATCAAAATAAAATTAAAATATATGAAGAACTGGGGTTGTAGTTCAGTGTGAAAGTCCTAGGATTAATTTCAATTACTGAAGGAAAAAGTTGAGGGCTGGCCACATAGCTCAGCAGATTAAAGCACCTACTTAGGAAGATGCAGGGACCAGGGTTCGATCCCCAGTATATGTGCTAGCCCCGCCCCTTGGGTGCACTGAGACTCTGATTGAGACTGGGCAGGGTGGCACATGCCTTTAATCCCAGCATCCCAGGGATGCTGAAAACAGAAGGATCACTATGAGTCTGATCTGTTTAGTTCACTAATAACTTGCTAACATTCATAATGAAAGTTCTATTGTTCAACAATTCACATTTAACATAACCAAGTTCTAACCCAGTCTGGGCAACTTAGTGACTCAGCAAGACCTTGTTTCAAAATAAAATTAAAAAATATAGAGGGCTAGAGTTGTACGTCCCATACTAAATATAAATAAAAAAGTTAAGATTATTCTAAGCAATTCTAACAAAAGTGTCACTCCTGTGTCAGAACTTGTAAGTGCTCTAGAGATTCTGGTGGCTTCCACTGACTTCTCCATAGGCCTTTATGTTAAGGTGGCTGTCTTAGTACCTCTGTGATCAAAAGCCCAGGCTGCAGACAAACCCTGCTTTGCCATGTATCAATAGCTAAATGACCTTGGGCAAGTCACCTGAACCCTCTGGTTCATAATTTCCTCATTTTAAATTAGCGGTAGAGAGTTGTGGATGTAGCTCCACGGTAGAGACTGCCTCGTATACACAAGGCTCTGGGTTCAATCTCTAGCACACACGTGCACTCTCATATTCACACATGGGGTGGGGGGATATATATATACTGTAACACAATAAAAGTGAAATATATTTAGATTTGAAGTAAAGCTGGTAATATCTACCTCAAGGTAATTTCATGTGATTAATACAGAGAAGGTAATCATAATAGCACCTGGAATATGCTACCATAGAAAGGTTAGTGAAAAAAAATGTGCACCTAGTGTTTGCTACAACTATATCCACTGATGTGTATAAAACTCTATACTTCATATTTAAGCTCCACTAAAAAATAGTTAATTTTAGATTTAGGTTACATTTTCAATTCTTAGAATAACGATTTAGCTTTATCATTATTATTTTTTAACAATTTAGTTTTAAAAGGCCTTCATTCACCTTTGAACACAATCTCTCCTCTGGAGCCTTACCAAAAGGCCTGCCAAGGAGTGGACTGCAGTGTGTACTCCACAAGAATTTGCTGTGTGCATACGGGCAGGTGGAACATCTTCACATTAAGAGACAGGTAGCGATCATGCTGAGCAGAGCTCACTCTGCTTGGGCTGATCAGAGGAGGAGAGTCCAGGCCCTGTGGGAGGGCAAACCCAGGGAAGCTTCCCAGAAGCAGTGTTTCTCTCAGCTGAGTCCTGAAGGATACACAGTTGGCCTCAAGAAGAACAGGAAGCTTCAAGGGTCTGGAAACTCCTTATGTTGTTGCCTCTGGCCAGACTATTCAAACAAGGGCAATTAGTTAATGGCAATCATTTTATTGGTATTTATATCATAGCAATACTGTATATAGAATTTCATTTTTGTCTTATTGTTCTAGCTGTTTTGAAATTACAAAATATGAAATTATTCCAAGGAAGTAGAGATTCTTAATTCATATATATATATATATATAGTTCTTTTGAAAAATCTAGTTTAAAAATAATATATAGCTGTCTTTTGCCAAGTGGTTATGTGACATTCATGTCATGATCTCTGTTCAGGAATGAACTCATCTAACCCTTGTAAGAAAATGTTCTGTTGTCACCCAAGCTGATTAACTTAATAAAAAGCAGAGTCAGGGTTTGAACTCAAGCTCATGCACTTAATTATTATAGTAAGTTAAGTTTTATATTAATTCATCACTAAAAATATTGTCTTGCTTTCGTTTTATATCATTTGAAGAAGTAAGTGCTAATTTCATGAATGATATAGTTCATTTCTGTGTGTGTGTCTGTAAGCTATTTCATAAAACGTTGTGATTTAGAACTTCCCTTCAGTGCTACAAGGGTGAGCCTGTCACAGGATTTCTTGTTGGTCAGCGCTGTTCTCCAACTAAAAGTGCTTTCACATCTGTTTTGTTGCTTCTTCCCCTAGTGGGTATAGAAAATGCTTGAATAATGTATATGACTGTCCATATTCTTTCAGCTGAAGATTGCATACTTAAATCATTAAGATGGATTCCTGATATGGAACCAAAACTTTTTTTTTTTTTTTTAAAAAAAGGGAAAAAACTTCATTTGTAAATACCTAATTAGCCAATATTTAAATAGGCCATCTGAAGAGGCTCCCGCCCCAAGTTTGATATAGACATGGTGACCCAGCCAGCAGTCTCCTCCTGCCCGTGAGCCATGACCATCTTCTGTCTCTGAAGCCTAACTCTTTGTCACTGTTCCTCAAATCCCTCTCTCTGCATGCATCCCATGATCCACGCTGAGCCACACAGGCCTCCACAGTGTGGAGGAAACAGGAATGTTTTCCCATCCCTGTTGTATTCTTCTAATTCTTCCTCTAACCGGCTCCACCAGGAAATAAAACAGAGGTCACTGCAGTAGCAACGACTTCCGAGCTATTTGCTAAATTTAGCTGTTCAATACTTTCCACGCTAATGAAAACTGTGGACTCCATTTATAGAATGTTGAAACAGAACAAGAGCTTAAAGGTCATCAAATCCAGCTCGCACGGTTTTCTGTTGAAGGTGTAGGGGCTCAGACCCAGCCTGTGAGTTGCTTGAGGCCAGAGGAGCTCACGGTGATGACAGAGTCCGCTCAGCCTGAAGGAATGCTGAACACAGATGTTCTGCCTTTAAAGATCGGCCCAACCTAACCACCTTGCTAAGCAATAGCTGACTTTATTGGTTGTGGCTTAATTTCCATGGTCATTCGTTTTTGGGTGGCTGAGGGTAAAATGTTACTAGAAGAGAAATGAAATGATTGTGGACTAAACCCTCCCCCGACTCTGAGAACTTCCTGCTTTCTGTTCATCAATAATGAATCTTCATCCCTGCAGTCCTCCGAGGGAGCTTACACTGCACTTTTGAGCAGCCCGTTAGTAATGTGCAGTGGATAGAGCCTTTCTTTCAAATCCCAGGGCAGCAGGTCCTTGAAGGCTAGCATTGCATTTTCAATTAGCTGCTGAGTGAATGCTTGGCATGTGTATTAGTGAAGAGGCACACAATTAGTTTATTGTTCCTCTCCGTATTGTGCTGAGAGGAACCCAAGGACTGGTGGGGGAACAGGCAAGCCGGGCACTGCTGTGGATGGTGAAGAAGGGACCTCCTCAGACCTTGGCATCTTCACTTGCTTAGTCTGGAATCACAGCTGTTTATTACAAAGCACCGTGTGTGCTGCGGTGGAGTGTGGGCGAGGGACACAGCGGATCCCACTTGGGGTTAGCTTTCCGGAGCTCTTTCCATCATTGACTAATTCTCATCGTTATCATGGAGCCAAACAGCCCCAAAAAGATACAGTTTGCTGTACCCCTATTTCAGAGTCAGATTGCACCCGAGGCCGCAGAACAGGTAAGTGGAATTGGGTGGGGTCAGCCCCTCTGTGCCAGGTAACGTGAACGCGCTTTCCTGTTCATGGGAAGGTTCTCTACCTCTTGAATCGGCCTAACTTTTGGAAGTTTTAGGATATCTGAATGAGAAGTAGGTTGGCTTCTAATGTGGATTTGGGTTACGGTGGGAAACTTTTGGCTAAAATGCAGTTTCATGTAAAATTAGCTCTCATTAGAAGCAACGATTGTTGGTATTCCAAATTTAGATCTATAAATGTTTGCTTTAATTAAAATAACAGGTTCAACATTCCAAGGAAGTTTTAAAAAAATCTCAAAATTAGTAACATTTTATTTAATTATTTGTAAAATGATTGGTGGAGCAAAGAAAACATTAGATCCCCAAATAATTTCATGTTATAGGCTTAATATGTTAACATTGTTTTCATTGTATACCCTGGACAGTAATTATATATATATAGTATTTAATACATAGGATTTGAAAAATATATTTAATTTTAAAACATTTTGTTTGGCTAGTATAAATAATATTTCAATACTACCTCTATTTTTCTTTAAAGTGTAATATTGGTTACATCTTTATCCCCTTTCATTGTTAGATTTCTTAGATTCAATGCAGTGGTACCACTTAGAAGAACATTTGTGATAAAGCTACAAATGTATTCTGTAGGGAACCAAAAGCAAAGGAATTTATAGGAAAATCGGTCTCAATCACTAATTTCTTATCACAAGTATTCCTGCATCCTTTCCCAAATACTGGTACAAAGTTGTAAAAATAGTAATTGAGTCTGAGACTGGTTGCTTTGGAAGATATTTTGATAATCTGAAGGAGATGCGTCTAGACTCAGGACAGACATATGCAACCTTGAACATTTGTGTGAAAGGAGCACGGCTTCTCTCTTAGACAAGATGTCATTGGTGCCTTTTAGCCTTTATCCTACTGATGTATACTTTAGGAATTTAATTATGAGCGAGCATATTAACAAAATAATGGACATCAGAAGCAAGAAGCTTGAGTCTGGTATGCTTGTATAGCTTTTAAAGAAGAGAAAATGCACCAAACCTCTTACTTTCAAATAAATTACACATTATAAGATTCATATGCACAGTTTACTTACTGATATGTGTTCCAAATTTTATACTAGAAAATAAAAGCTAATATTAATTGAAACTTAAAACTCATACTAATTTAAGTATAACATATACTAGAAATTTGAGGTTTGCAAGTTCCTCTTACCCATTTAGAGATAAGGATAATGGATCTTAAAAGCATCACCAATATTGTGAGCTTCCAAGAGAGCCATTAACTTGAGCGAGCCGTCCCTGTATTTCCACATACATTCATTTTCAATTGCATCCTTTGATTATATATGATGATTTCTTTTTGTGGAAATGCTGTTTTGTGATCAAAGAAGGCAAGAGGAATATCTGACAGTTCCATTCTCTGCCTTTTTATTCTGAACAATAGTCAGCAAGGATGCACAGTGTGTTCTCCAGAAGTTGACTTTTGCATGCTGGAAGAAGATTAGAAAGTATTTGCTTTGCAAACTGTAATCAAGGCCATGTATGATTGTCACTGACATTAGCTGGGCCTTTGTTGTTCACAGATCAGGAAAAGAAGACCCACACCAGCATCACTTGTGATTCTCAATGAACATAATCCCCCAGGTAAAGAGCATGGTGTCCTTTGGACTGATGGAACAGTCTAAATAGGATGGTTTCAAAATCATCTAACAGTATAAATAGGATGGTTTCAAAATCATCTAACAGTACATCATGGGCGAAAAGTTGCAGCTCTGAATTTGAGTTAGCAATACTCTAACAACTGGGTAAATGGATCATAAACAAAATCAGAAGCAAAAAATACAGAGATTAGCTCGTGCAACACCCTGCTTGTCTTTAAAAGTGGCACAGCGTTGATGGTATGCGGGGAAATGTTTTGTTAGCACCGGTCATCATGTGTTCAGGTGTTTGGATGGTCTCTGGTTCAGTGCTTAATGATGAGACTGGTGAAAAGTTGTTTAATTACGTTTCCATGCTTAAATTACAGTCCTAGAGAAACCTTTTCTTTTTCAGAGTTTTTTTTTTTTTTTTAAATTCATGTCCTGGGATGGGGCAATAAACCAGCACAGGCTATAGCTTTACTGCTGATGTCATCTCTGAATAATGCAATTGACAAAGAACCAGATCAATTTTCAGCACTGCCCATTTGAGAGCCATTCTGAATGGCTGCATCCATTTGTTGAGGTTTTATTTTCCATTTCCTGTAAAAAGCAAAACTTTATTATTATTCCTGATGAAGAACTATGATTTGCAAAGCATATGCATTATTTACTTACTGAGCAGGGTGAATTAGTCTTGCATTTCAATGCTCCTTCTAGAAGCATAAATGGGACAGGAAAGGCCAAGGCAATAATTTGTACCAGGCAGAACTTGGTGTCAGGTATTTTGCAGGTATAAACAACAAGGGAGGACAAAAAAGCTTGACTAGTGGAAACATAATACATCTAATGATAGGTTGTAGTAAATGGCCTGTTTTAAGAACAGCAGGGTAAAATAGTCCTTGTCTTCTGGATTCTAACTAGAGAAATATGTGAAAAGAAAAGACCATACTTAGAGAATGTTCATTATTCAAAGAAATACAGGAGAATTTGCAGCTGATGGGAACAGCTAAGATATTCATTACTGATGCAAAGACAATCAGAATTGAATCTTCTACGCTCAAAAGGCTGTAATATTTTAAAACTGTCTTCTAATGTATTATGTCAATTAGTAAGTATATGTTTGGATTCTTCAAATGGTATGTTCTTGCAGTTTACAAATAAATTCAAGTAAGTAAACATAATGACTAGATCGTCTCTGTTCTGAGGTAATCTTGTAGTACTTTTCCATTTCTGCCTTGCTCACTGTGGTAAACATCTCTACCGTGTCCTGGAACTCATTTGTCCCTCATTCAAAGGATGCTGCAGCCCAATTTCTAGTATGTTACACACCACCAGGGAGCAGCTTCCTGAGTTCTGCAGGCCTCTACTATCTGTCCATGCTGAAGCTGTGCAAGGAGCCTTCATTTAAGTGGCTTCCATTTATGTAGGAGACTCTCACTTGGATGCCTGAAATAATAGCTATTTTTTCTTGAGCATAAAATATGCCCATTTTACAGACGAGGAAAGTCTGTATGCAAGAGCTGAAGTGAGTTTTGTGAAGCTGTTCCTTGAGAACTGATGAATTCCAAAGACAAAAATCCCATGAATCCGACGATGAAGCCCAAGCTTTCCCAGCAGCCTGGCACATGCGCTGAGCATTAGAACTTCTCTTATGTGGTGATGGCTCTGTATGGACATTAAATCCCTATGACTAGGCAAACCAAAGTTTAAATAAATCCTTTGTCTGGACCACATAATAGATTAGGGATTATATTTACATATCTGAGAAACAGATGTAGGGTTCTCTGGTGATCTGTTTCTTATCAGACCTCCCCATCACTAGATGGCGCTACCTTATTTTCCTAATGGATCTCTTCTCTCTATGTTATAAGCCCCACTGGAGAAATAGTAGATGCACGTAACCTCTCATCTTTGTAATATCATCTTCCCGCATGGGATTATCTCTCCTAATGGGTAAGAGGCTGATCAGCCTATGGCTGTGTACAGTGCTCATATCAGTGCGCTTGGGAATCAGAGATTCTAGACTAATGATGGATTCTTGCTGCACAAACCCTAAAAGCTTATAGTTTTCCCACAAAAAATGACCTAGCACTTTACTTCTGGGCAGATAATGCTAAGAGTCCTGAGAGCAGCAAAACAAACAAAAAAAACCCTAACAATCCAAAGCCTATTTGGGTGGTGGTCTTTAGTAGGCTGTGGTCTTTTCTGATCTGTAACAGAGAGATTACAATGCATATTCTTCCTTCAAAAGTAATTGCAATCATTAAAAGAGTTAACATAAATCTACCTTAAAAATAGCAGAGTATAATCATTGGGGTCATTGGCTGATTGTCTAGGTTTTTGCATGTGATATATGGGAGTTAAACTATATTAACACAAAAAGAATGAGATCTTTATAATTGTGTCTTTATTGAATACTTCTGCCTTATTCAGCAATTCTTTATGTTCCAGATATTATCTGAACTTATATGAACAATGATAAAAAGCCTCACATTTTTCTTTTAGAGAGAATAAAAATAATTTTAAAAAACTTTAGAAACAATACAGAAGTTGAAAAAATAAGATGATAGAATTCAACAATTGTTGTTATGTTGTGTGTTGTTGTCTTCAAAGTAACTGTCCAGATTACCAGATCTAAGTATGTAAACTACAGCCACTGTGGAAATCAGTGTGGAGATTCCTCAGAAAACTAGGATTTGAGGTCCTAGTCAACCCAACTATTCCCCTCCTTGGTATTTTTCTAGAAGAACTGAAAACATCATACCACAGTGATATATCTGCACCTGTGTTCATAGCAGTACAATTTGTCATAGCTAAATCTTGGGAACAACCCAATTGCCCATCAACTGAAGGATGGGTAAAAAAAGTTGTGTTATTTTTATACAATGTATTAGTCAGCTATAAAAGATAAACTTGAGGCTTTTATAGGTTAATGGATGAAAGTAGAGGCCATACTCATAAGTGAAAGAAATCAGATATGCATGTGTAAACATCATATTGTCTCCCTAGAGTAGCAACCTGAAAGAATAAATAAAATCTGAAAGGTACACTAGATATTGTGAAGGGGAAAGAAACTGCTCAAAAGAAAAGAACAACTGGAATGAGGAAAAGGAAGAAACAAAGAAAGAAAGAAAGAAAGAAAGAAAGAAAGAAAGAAAGACGCAAGATAGCTAATTGTACTATTAATTTCTATTGGTTTATTGAAAGGAAAAATTACTGCTTAATTTTTAATCTCTATTGGCTTATTGAAAGGAAAAAAATTACTGCTTAATTTTTTGGACTAATTCTATATGACTACTTTTAAGCAATAGGTTTTTTCTGGCTTTAAAATGTAGTAACCTTTAATGAACAGAAAATGGTACAACCTTAAATTCTGGTTAAACTCAACATTCTCTTCAATTCATTGAAATAGCCCAGCAATTAGGGAAGGGACTTTAGAAATATCTTTAGTAATTAAAGATGCTTCATAGATGTAACATTTTCAGGATTAAGCCACTGAGCTGCATCTCCAGCCCTTTCTACCTGGCAATAAGGCTTTGCTTGGTTGCCCAGGCTGACACTGAACTTGCCATCCTCCTGACTCAGCCTCCTTCAGTGCTGGGGTTACAGGCATGGCCATTAAACCATGCTTGGCAAATCTCTCCAGTCATTTAATAAAGTAAAGAAAATTCTTCATTAAGGAAATATTATTAATAAGTCCTTTCCATGTTTGATGGTATCAGTGAATTACAATCATTCTTAAGCAAAAGATATAGATTACTTTTTAGAAAATTTCAGGAGTTTGAAGAAACATTTCATTATAAATTATTGTAAAAGAATAATTTGATTTTATGTTTATATATACCTATATATTCTGTTTATATTTGTTAGAGGGGAAATAGAATATGCAACTATTTTAATATGTGTAGTTTTTAAACTTACTGGTGAGGCAGGTACATGACTAGTTGAATTCCAGGGACAACAAAAATGTTCTTCCAAGTAAATGAATTCGAATTCTCATCCCCTGAAGCATTTTTTTTTGGGGGGGGAAACATAACTTAAGGATATACAAACCTCTGATGTGAACTAGTAAATCAATTTAACTCAAAACACTGCAAAAAGGGATTAAACTCTGAATTGAAGACATCAGTCCTGGGAAAGTCTAAGAGCAAAAGGTACATCTCTGTGATTAAAAAGGGCAGACAGGACGGATTTGCTTGTAGGAATAAGTCTGAATGCTAGGTAACAGTAGAAAGATTCTGGAAGCCTGAAATTTGGGACAACAAGGGTGAACCTTTTAGAGACTAGTGCCCACACAACAACCCCAAATCCACTTATTTATCACAAGGCCCCCACAACTGCAATTACACCTGACTACTGAGGTTTTAGTTTAGAAAAAACTCAACCATTATCTGTGTCATAAAAGAAAAACACGACAACATGCCTTCCATAGGTTTAACACCACTGGTATGGAGAACCACTAAAGATGTTGCCAGTGTCTTCGGACACTTTCTGGGGCTGGCAGTGTGAGTGACTTTGCAGCAAACTGCTTCTCCTTCTGTGTTTCCAGTTCCTCTTCTGATCAAGTTCATCTGATTATGGCCCCCTCCATGAAGTTCTACTGTGGAACATTTCTGTCCCCCCTTGTGGCCTTTGATGTTTGCTTTTATGGTCTGTAGTTTGGTGGTGCTTTCTAAATTTTTCACTGGAGGAACGCCTAGTGGCAAATCTCCTCTACGCAGCAATAAACGGCAAATTTGCTCTATGTAACTTATTCCATCTCATTGACAAGGTACTCGATCTTTACCTGGCTTTGAGTTGACTTAGAGGAGGCTGTGTATTTGACGACTAGTGTGCTTCAGTTTGGGTCATGCGTGTTCCCAAAAGGTCCTCATGCTGAAGGCTTGGCTGCTGGCCCATGCTGCTGTTAGAAGGTGGTGATTTTCAGGAGGTTGGACCTCGTGGAAGGAAGTGCAGTCACAGGAGAAATGTCCCGAAGTGACACTGGGGCACGGGTCTCTTTTT